TCTAAATAAAATCTTAAAAAAAATTTTTTTTAAGTCTATCCTGGTGGATAAACAGTAGTTTTTTTTTAATATTTTATTTATTTGTTAATGAGAGACACACAGAGAGACAGAGACATAGGCAGAGGTAGAAGCAGGCTTTCTGCAAGGAGCCTGATGGTGGGACTCGATCCCAGGACCTCAGGATCACGCCCTTAGCCAAAGGCAGATGCTCAACCACTGAGCTACCCGGGCGTCCCTACATCGTAGTTTTTAACTTCATTCGCGTAATCCTCTTTGAAAGCCTAACAAGTATAGATTTCCTTCAGGCAAGCGGTCATATTACACTCATATGCACAAACACAACTTTGGCATGTAATTTTGGGGCACGTCTCTTGACATGCCCCTACAGATACCAGTTGAAGATGCAAATTTTGATTCAAGAAACCACAACACCTCAGAGTGACTCAGTCTCCAGAGGTTTGCTGTACTCTTCAATTCTGTGGTGGGCAACCTGTCATTTTAAACTCCCCTCTGTTTGCAGTTTCACAGACTTTTCCAAACTCAGGCATTCTCCCTCCTTAGTTTTGAATTAGATAATTAACACTTGTCATTTCGTGTGAGGCTTAAACACAAACCAAAGTGTATCCACGTGAACCAGGGCACCAGGGGTGGAGAATGGAATTAGTTCCTCTGTCGTCCCCCCCACCCCCATCACCTACCAGTCCTCTCTGGGGCCTTTGAGAGGAAAAAAGGATAGGGGGCCACAGGGACATTCTAATGTGTACTTGTGAAGGGACTCCTAAAGAGCCAGCAAACCCTCCCACGGCTCCTGCTGTGGGCTGAGTTTATAGAGAACATCTATAAACATCCTCGAGAACTGGTCTCCTCAAAGAGGCCTTTAATCATTGCCAATGCAGGAGGATGTGTTGACCTGCTGTTTGGAACTTGAGTGTCTGAGCTACATTTTATCACTTAAGAGGTGCTTTCTTCCTCTGAAAGTGCTGCTTTTCCTCATGGAAATAACCCAAATGCAGCCAGACAGAAATAGCAGAAGACATTAACTGACTTTGGTTAAGACGTGTATTCTTTCTCCCTTAGCTTTTACATTTTGGATTGAGGGTAACCTGAAGCTAGCAACATTCCTAAGATATAATCAAAGTCTGTGCTGTTTTTCTAGTTTGTTAAAGACAATTTTTTAAGACAAAGTTAGTGGCTACTTCAGCTTTTCAAAATACAACCTAAAAGGACATTTTAGATGCCAGCGTGCGGTTTGTTTTCTCCCATGAGAAAAAAAAACTTTCAGAGCCGGTAAGCTAGGAACTGCTTTTACCTCCTAGTTTTAAAAGTCTAATTGGTGAGAAATGACAATTTCTCAGTACACACTGTCAGTTCTCTGCAGATCACTTTGAAGGCCTCCTTGACCTCCTTCCAACTACAGTTTTGTATCTCCAGCTGCTCATTAGACACTTCTATTTGGAAGTCCTCATTACCGCAAACTCAACTTTTCTAAAACTCCACTTCTTTTTAAGATTGGCCCCATGCAGTCACAGTGACCCATTTATATCACAAGTACCTTTCTTCTTCCCTAGCTCTGACACCTAGGCAGCATCTTTGATCATTCTTTCTCTCTAGTCACAAGAACCCATACATTATTTTCTTAATGTCTCTCAGATACATTGATGCCTTTATCACCTTTCATTCCTTTGCTCTTTTCATTTTTTGTTACCTTTGTCCCAGAGTGATAAACATTTTATTTCTAAGTTATCCTAGTCTTGCCCTCCTTCCTGAGGGATTTGTCATCCTCAAGCACAGCTTTGCTGATCTGATTGCCCCTGAAACCTTTATGTAGACCCACCTGTCACTAACTAGGTACAAAAGCCACCTGTACCAGACCTGTCACTCTAGGGTCACTCACTGCTCCCCATGAAAACACTGACAAGCAGTGCCCACATCAGGCCCCTCTTTTCTGACCCCCTGCCCAGCCCTCATTGGAAGCCTTGGGATCTTTCCTCTGACACTGAATCCAGATGAGATCCTGAATGTACTTAAAGGGCCTGCACACTGCCCAGCTCATAGAATCTCAATAAATAGCAGTGGTTCAGGGCACCTGGGTGGCTCATTTGGTTAAGCGTCTGCCTTTGGTTCACATCCTGATCCCAGGGTCCTGGAATCAAGCCCTGTCTTGGGGGAGGAGGGGCTGCTCAGCGGGGAGCCTGCCTCTCCCCTCTGCCCCTCCCTACCCCTGCTCTTGTACGAGTGCTTGCACTCACTCTCTCTCAAATAAACAAAATATTTTTAAATGATGATAAGTAAATAAATAGCAGTGGTTCAACTATTGTTTCCTAGAATACTGTTCTCCTCGTGGTAGTTGTTTAACCAATATTAACCAGATAAAGGAACTACTTTATCAAAATGATTTTGATAGGAAAGGAAAATCGAAAGGAAAACACTTAGGAATTTTTTTAATGTTCCTAAACATACAAATAATAAGCAAATAGAATCATCAGAAATGATTTAGAGATTGTCATTAAGAACATTTATATGAACTCTTCCAAACAACAGAGGTTTTTTGTTTTTTTTTTTAAGGTTTTATTTTTAAGTAACCCCTTTTACTCATCATGGGGCTCAAACTCATGACCCCGAGATCAAAAATCACATGCTCCACTGACTGACCCAGCCAGGTGCCCCAGAAAAAAACAGTTTAGGCCTCTACAAAAGATTTCTCCCCTCTTTACTATTATTTATTATTGTGAATAACTGTGTTAATTTGATTTACTATATTTTAAATTTTTGTATCTTATGTTTATCTTTTAACTTTACATTTATCTTTGCCTAATAATCTTTTTAGTACTCATGAGGAATTTCTATTCTGCTTTCACACTGAGGTTAAAATTTAGTTGTGTTTATTCTTTGAGTTAAAAATCCCCCGCTGGTATTGGGCCAAAAGGAATGTAATTTTTTTTTTTTACAATTTTATATATATATTTTTTACAATTATTATAACATTGTACATTTTCATTAAGAACAGCTTGATAAATACAGAAAACCAAAAGAATTGCAACCCTTCCCACCCAACATACCCACAACCACTACAAATACTTCACTGTATTTTCTTCTAGTTTTTGTTCATAGATTTGCCTGCTTGCTTGCTTGCTTGCTTGCTTGCTTGCTTATTTATTTATTTATTTATTTATTTATTTATTTATTTATTTATGAAAAAGAGTGGTGAGAAGGAGTCAAGGAGGAGGGAGTGGGAAAGAGAAAGAACCTTAAACGGACTCTGTCCTGAGCGCCAGACTTCACCGGGCTTGGTCTCACAACCTGAGATCATGACCTGAGCCAAAATGAAGAGTCAGTAGCTCCACTGACTGAGCGAGCACTCAGGCGCCCCTAGATTTGCTTAAAATATAGTGCTTTCTATATAAGTATCATACGTCACTCTGTAAAAGGTAATACAATTTGGGGCCCCTGGGTGGCTCTTGGTTTCCACTCAGGTCATGATCTCAGGGTCTTTAGATCCAGCCCCAGGTCAGGCTCCATGCACAGTACAGAATCTGTTGGAATTTCTCTCTCCCTCTGCCCCTCCCCACTCTCCCTCTCTCTTTTCTAAAATAAATAAATCTTTAAAAATAAAAGGTGATAAAATTCTCATGACTATATTTGGAAAGCAGGTAACTTGCTACTGTATATGGTTTACTTACCATGTGCTAGACTTCTGTACAAGGCACTTCGGCTTGTATTCTCATGCTTCATTCTTCAAACCTCCCAGTGAGGATCAATGCTATTACCACCCCTACTTACACATGAGGAAGCTGAGTCCTCAAGAAGTCAGGCCCGAAGTCCAGGCCCCGCAGCTCGTGAGTGGCAGAGAGAAAGAACGCAGGCGGCCCAGCCCTGACACCTGTTTCTTAACCACTGTACCTGCAAAGTGGAAAAATTTGAGCCATTCTCTGCATGAGCACTATGGGTGATGAACAGTGAGTGACATACTTTGTCTTCACAATAGCAAAGTGGAGAAACTTCCCAGCCAGTGCCTGCTCTGTCCTAATACCAGAAATGGTATGAAGAGTCATTTCATTAGCTGCTGTTCACACCATACACTACATATATTTACACCATACACTCTCCTTGCCACTTTAACTGTCTCTGATCCTCACAAGAAGCCTTGAAGGTTTCTGTTCACCATCGTTACACAATTGAGAACACGGGGTTCAGCAAGCTCAAGTAACTGAAACATAGTCATGGAGTGCATGATTGATGAGAAGCTGGGATTCTAACTCCATGGTGTTCTGCACCATACTGCCTCTCTGTAAAACAATCTCCTAAGACCCAGATAAAAATAAGAGTGTGGTCCCTTGCTGTTTGCTTACTAGCAACATTAGTGTGTTTCTCTGGCACCAAACTGGCCAAATCCAGAGAGTGTGATGTGTGTTGGGTTGATTTGGGGGAAAGGGTAAATGGAGCCCCAGGGGAGTTTACCTGGCACAGGGCCCCTCTGAAAACAAGTTTCACTTCTCATTCTTTCTGTGAGAGTGTCTAAAAGCACATGTTTATGAAATAATTACCTAACGGGAAGGCAGATTTGTTTGGATTTTTTTTACAAAAGGCATTATTTACATGAAGTACATCTGTTATTGCCAACTCCAGACTTTTTATTGGCCCAAGAAGCTGTTTTGGTTTTGCTTTTGTTTTTAAATCATACACATGAAAAGACTTGAGAAATTGGGGAAACAGGCCAGAGAAATTATATTTTCCAAGTAAGTTAGTGCAAAAGAAAGATCTAGCATTCTCCACCACCCCAAGTCCATCAAGCTTTACACTACATTGTTTTGCTTTCCCTTATTTTCAGAAATATGACCGAGCAGAAGGAAATTCAGTGAGTTTTATTTGGTTTATGGAATGTGAATTTTTAGACGTTAAATTGGTCACATTTAAAAATCAGCTTTGGTAGAATGGCAGTAATCTCAAACACCTGCTAAACTATGTGTCCTAGTTCTGTTGTCTTTTTTTTTTTTTTCTAGATTTAATGATGCTTTACAACAGTTTTCTAAGTCTGAAGTTTTCTGTGCCTGCACATCCCAGAATTTGCTAAGAGATGGAAGAGTCTCCGCAAAACGATCTGAATGCAGTGACCCATGACAACGATGACCCCCTCAAGAGCACCAGCCCTCAGATTTCTGTTAGTGAATTTTCTTGCCACTGCTGTTACGACATCCTGGTTAACCCCACCACCTTGAACTGTGGGCACAGCTTCTGCCGGCACTGCCTAGCTTTATGGTGGGCCTCTTCGAAGAAAACAGAGTGTCCGGAATGCAGAGAAAAATGGGAAGGTTTCCCCAAAGTCAATATTCTCCTCAGGTAAAGCTCAGTCCTTATCAGTACCCCATACAGCTGGCACAATGTGCTTTCTCTTCATGGGAGCAGCTAGGTTTGAGAAGGCCAGAGGCGCCGAGCTGCCCCCCACCATGGTCACATTCTAGATCTGCTGGCGTATGTGAGGCAGGGAGCTCAAGGACTGCAGATCCAGACTCCCTTATGGGTGACCGTGATCTGTTTGTGATTTTCATAAAGGAGGAAAAGAAATTCTGGTTATCAAACCACTGCTTATAATCCTTTGTTGTATAACACTTTATTGATTTGTATCTACTGAGAACACCCCAGATCTAATAGAGAAAGTGATATAACTCCACAATTCTGTATAATTCCTTTTGATGCTGATTTTCATTCATCATCTTTGACTAATCTCTGTTCCAGTTTTTGTATCAATAGAGGTAGTTTCCCATGCATCGTCTCATACAACAAATGGTAAGACCTTTCAGGTAGTAGATTCTGTTCTGCTTCTGTTCATAATATTCATAATGTACTTGTGAGGTCTTTGAGACCTGGCTTTTCTTCTATTGCCTTGATACCAACAGAATACCAGAAAATTCCAGGAAAACATTAACCTAACATGCTTTTTCTATTTTTTTTTTTTAAGATTTTATTTATTCATGAGAGACATAGAGGCAGAGACCTAGCCGGAGGGAGAAGCAGGCTCCCCATGTGGAGCCCAATGCAGGACTAGATCCCAGGATCCAGGGATCACACCTGAGCCCAAGGCAGACGCTCAACCACTGAGCCACCCAGGCATCCCTAACCTGCTCTTTTTCATCTGAGACACATTGACAAACTCTTGCTCTTACCTGTCAGCCTTGTTAACCTAAAGGTCAATCTTATGTTGAAGGAAGATTCTCTGATTATGTGTAATTGAAAATGAAGAGAGCTCTATAGTAGGACCTAATGGTCTCCCTCTTACTACTCAACTCTACTTGCTTTCCTCTTTATGAATTAATTTTTAATAATACCAGCAATACATAGAAACCTTCATTTGTTTATATTCTTTTTAAAAGATTGGAATTAGTATTGATAAAGTTAAAGGCCGCTTTAACCTCTTCTTCCCCATCTTGCCATCTTTCCTTCCCTTTTTACCCAGTCATTTCAGCTATGACTTAGTTATGATTTACTTCAGATTTTTTTGTATATATATTTTTTATTGGAGTTCAGTTTATCAACATATAACACACAGTGTCCTTCAGATTTTTAAAAATACTTTTAAACATTATGTATCAATAGGAAATGCAAGTATTTCCTCACATCAGTTGTGCACTATCTACTCGGTTCTTCAGTTTACTATTTTCATTCAATGATACGTATGTCTTAAATTTATCCATCTTGATACAAGTGATAAGCAGTAAATTCATTTTTAGAACTATGTAGTGTTCGATCATGTGAAGAGACCATGTTTTATTTGACCGTTTCTCTAACAGTGGACATGTAAGTCGTTCCAGATTTTTTGCTGTCATCAACAGGACCATAACTGACCTTCTTGTCTGTTCTTGTATATTATTAAATATTGAATGTTAGTTTGATTTTGGCCTCTAAACATTATAAGTATATTTAGACAAACAACCGTCTTGTGATTTTTTTTTTCCTCTTCATAGGGATGCCATTGAGAAATTATTTCCTGATGCCATTAGAATGCGATTTGAAGACATTCAGCAGAATAATGACATAGTCCAGAGTCTCACAGCCTTTCAGAAATATGGGAATGATCAAGTTCCTTTAGCTCCCAACACAGGCCGAGTGAATCCGCAGAGAGGCGGGGGATTCTTTTCCGGAGTGCTCACCGCTTTAACTGGTGTGGCAGTAAGTTTATCACTGTGTTTCTCTGCCCCCTTCCCTCCACAGTTTCCGCTGAAGTCAGTCCTGTTTTTTGTTTTTTGTTTTTTGTTTTTTTTTTGAAGTCAGTTCTGTTGAAATTGATGGCATACCTGCATGTGATGATTCACTGCATGCCTGGAGATCTGCTGGGTTGTATGATTTTTCCAGGATGCTACATACTCAAGTAGATAATGTGATATTCAGAGCCCAGTTATTGTTAGCTTTATTCTGTTTCATGCTCTTCCTAACCTCTGCAATAGCCACCATTATTATTCCCATTCTGTTTATTTCTTATTATTATTGTTATCATTATTTTTAATGTAAACTCCATGCCCAGCATGGGACTTGAACTCACAACCCCAAAATCAAGATCACATGCTTTACCGACTGAGCCAGCCAGGCGCCCCTATTATTCCCATTTTAAGGGTAAGACAGATGCAGGAAGGTGTTAGAACTGGAATTCAAGACCATGTCCACCCTGATGGTCAAGTTTCAAGCCCAGCACTTTACTAACATCCCATGTAGAGACTGTTTTCTTTCTTTCTCTTTTTTTTTTTTCTTTAAAGATTTTATTTACTCATGAGAGACACAGAAGAGAAACAGAGACAGAGGGAAAAGCAGGCTCCTCACAGGGAGCCCGGTGTGGGACTTGATCCCTGGACCAGGATCACGCCCTGAGCTGAAGGCAGATGCTCAACCACTGAGGCACACAGGCATCCTGAGAATATTATTTTCTTTTTAGTTCCATGCTATAACAATTTCAAGATTACAAATTTTCCAGCAAAAAAGGAACATAAGTCCATTAAATCAGCCAAGATGTTAGAGTCAAGGGTACAGTGCCTCCAGTCACTCTGCAGTGAGTTCTGTTCCAGTCTCTGATCCCTTAGGGCGCCCCCACTGGCAATGAGAGGTGCCCACTGAGACTTCTGCTGCCCAGCCCTCTGTGGCAGTGGTGTTGCTATGCTTCCTTGCACCGGCTTGCCACCATTCCCTCCATCCTCAGCCTCTTCCTGCCCCTGCCCCACACTCACATATTGAAGAACTGGCATCTCTGACCTTTCTGTGTGTTAAGAGCTTTCCCTTTTGCCCAGGTGGTCCTGCTTGTGTATCACTGGAGCAGCAGGGAATCTGAGCACGACCTCTTGGTCCATAAGGCTGTGGCCAAATGGACAGCAGAAGAAGTGGTCCTCTGGCTGGAGCAGCTGGGCCCTTGGGCCTCTCTCTACAGAGACCGATTTTTAGCAGAAAGAGTCAATGGAAGGTAAGAAGCAAGGTCTTCTGACACTTATTTTTAAGCTGCTTTATTGAGATAAAACCCACATACTATAAAGTTCACCTGTTAAATTGTACAGTCCATGATGTTTAATATAGTCACAGATGTGTGCAGCTATCACCACAGACTAGTAGTTTTAGAACATCTTCATCACCCCACAAAGAAAGCTCTTACCTACCCTTTTACCATCAGCCCTCATGACCCCCTCCCACCTCCCCGGCAGCCACCATTTCACTTGCCCTCTTGATGGATTTGCCTGTTTAGGATATCTGTTATGAATGGAATTGACCTTTTGGGTCTCGCTTTTTCACATCCCAGAACATTTTCAAGGCTCATCCAAGTTGTCACGGGTGTCAGTGCTTCATTCATTTTTATGGCACAGTAATATTCCAGTTTGTGGCTGTGCCATATTTTATTTATGCATCCTTCTGTTGGTGGACGTTCTGGCTGACTGCATTTGGGGGCTGTTAGGAGCAGTCCTGCCGTGATCCCCTGGCATACCAGCTTTTGTGTAGACCTGCATTTTCAGTACTCTCTTGTACTCTCTTAGAGTGGAGTTGCTCAGTCATAAGTAACTCTGTAGGTTTACCTTTTTTTAGTAGCTGCCAAACTGTTTTCCAAAGCAGCTGAATCATTTTATGTTACTGACATTTTGTTTGTTGCTTCTTGATTATAAGAGGAACATATATTTGCTGGTTATTTAAAAATAAGAATGTAGAACTATAGGGTGTTGGAAGTGAAATACCCTCTTAATTCTGCTCTTCAGAGAAAACCGCCATTGTCATCTTTCTGGACATCTTTCCAGGTTTTTTTATGTGTGTATATGTAGATACATATAAACGTATGTTATTTATCTGTTTGAAAATACAGTTATACTAAACAGACCTACGTTTATCTATATGTGTATGTATATGCATATGTATGTGTATATATGCATATATACTGGAGTCTGTTTAATTCATCTCTACCAAAACAAATCTGAGTTGCTTCCTTTTTCCTATTCTAGGCAATTCCAAGCAATGTTGTAGCAAATGTCCTAATACAAGGAACTCCCGAATCGAACTCTCAGGCCCTGGGGAGGCCTCCTTCTGCCCATCAACATATCCCCACGCCCTCTTCCAGAGCACTGTCCATCTTTCTTGGGGTCTTTCCTTCCTCGAAGAGAATGTGTAGGGATAGTACTTGGCATACCACGCAGTGCTGAGAGCAGCCACTGCTGCTGATTGACTTGTTCCAGACGGCTGTCTGCTCCCTGCCAGGTTGCCTGACTGCTGGCTTCCCACCCCAGTCATGTTTTCCCCCGGGACAGGAAAGCCAAATGCTCCCACTTGAATCATCTGGTTTTTGTAAGAATTAGTACCTCTCCCAAATTGTGGTTAAAATAATTTTTTTCTTCTCTACCTAGTTAATGCATGTTTGCATAATTGCCTTCCTTCCAGAAGATAGATTTCTAGAACTGCAATTTCTGGGTTAAAGGAAATAAACCTTTACAACTTTGATAAATATTTCCAAATTACCCACAAAAGGACATGATGTCCTGCTGGCCTCCTTGCTGGTGCACCAGGGTGTTTTTAGTGATGAATTATTGTTGAGGTGGAGTTGTTTTCAGATGAATGGGATCAGACAAGGGATCTACAGTTATTTTTCTTAAATTACTATCCTAAAACAGCTACTCTTAAAATCGTAACGTTTTATTGGATTTCTTTCCTTTTTTTTTTTCTGTACACATACATTTTGCAGTATGTGAAAGGTTAGACTGCATAGCTGGATGATCAGAGATTAAGAGTAGAAGAGACCAGGGTGTGCCTTGGCTGAGCCACTTTATTCCTTCAAACCATTTTTTCAGCCACAAAACGGCCATCATGCCATCTACTGGGCAGAACTATTAAATGGATCAGTGATGACTCATGGAAATAGTTTCCGAGATTCACCGAGCATTCAGTTGTTTGCTGTTATTACTGTTGGTTCATATACTGAGTGTCTTACCTTACTCAAGCCTGAAGTACTTATGCTGATAGGATGCAATCCTGAGTGTGAAGTTTGCCTCCAGTATAAAATCTCAAAAGAACTCTCTTCCTACTGCTACCCCTCCCCCACAGGTTGCTTTTAACTCTGACTGAGGAAGAATTTTCAAGGGCACCATATACCATAGAAAACAGCAGCCACAGAAGAGCCATCCTTCTGGAACTGGAGCGTGTCAAAGCACTAGGTGTGAAGCCTCCCCAAAATCTCTGGGAATATAAGGTGAACTCTTTGTTATTTATTTATTTATTTATTTATTTATTTATTTATTTATTTATTTATTTATTTTTAAGATTTTATTTATTTATTCATGACAGACACACAGAGAGGGAGAGAGAGAGGCAGAGACACAGGCAGAGGGAGAAGCAGGCTCCATGAAGGGAGCCCGATGTGGGACTTGATCCCGGGTCTCCAGGATCCAGCCCTGGGCTGAAGGCGGCACTAAACTGCTGAGCTACCCAGGCTGCCCTCTTTGTTTTTTTAATTGATAAAAATATAGAGAACAGCCTCTCCGTTGTTTACATATCCACTCCTTGGGAAAACATCACAGACACAACCAAAGCCCCCAGCTCCCCACCCTTTCCAGAGGTACCATGCTCCTACAGCAGAGCTGGGGGGCCCACCGGCCATGTTTCCCTACTTGTATTATGGGTGTGCATACGCACACACTAGGAGCATTGTTTTACAAATCCTCAACCTTAACAGAGGAGGCATGAACTGAGAGCGTGTCCTTCTGCAAGTAGCCTTTACCCCTCTGGCTCCAGTTCACTCATTTTCTCTTTTTGAGCATATGATAGTTGATGCATTGTCCTGTCAGTGAACACTGAGATTCTTTCCATTTTTGCTACTGGAAACAGTGCTGCTGTGGAAATTCTTTGGAAGTTCTTATGCTTTCTAGTATATACTGAGGAACAAGATTACTAGGTCACAGGCAATACACATCTTCAGCTTTATGAGGTATTGATAAATTATTCTTCATTGTGACTGCACCACAGATAGGATTTAGCATATACTGTACTGTAAAATGAATATGTTTTATTATAAAATATCTAGAATATATACCGACTTACATATCCTAAAAAGACAGCATGGAGAAAAATAATTACAAATGACCAATAAGCTCATGGGAAAAAAATGCTCAACCATAATTAGAGAAGTGCAAACTAAAATAAGCAAGTGCATTGTTTTCCCCTCTATGATCTTGTCCAGAATAAGAGCATCATAAGAGGAAAGAGAACTCATATGTTCTGTGTATCCTAAATATAGTGCAGTCTGCTCAGAGAACAGTTTATCAATAACTATTAACATTTAAATCGTGCCTACCCCATGATCTACACTTTCACTTCTTTGCACTTAGAGCACAGGCAGCATGGTCTGGGGTTCAAGGGCAGGGCTGGCTGCACTCCTTGCTGGGCTTCTCTAAGGCACACTCGCTGTGGAACACCAGCAGGCACCCAGGCCTTGTGTGCCTGTCTCCTCAGTAAGTGACTTCATAAAGTCACAGTACAAACTAAACTTTGAGCCCCCACATGTCATTAAATGAGACATTCACCACAGCATCGTTGGTAATAGCAGCACATGGAAAACCAGCGAAGTGCCCATCATTTGAACAGGTTAAATAAATAGGGTGCCACCCAGATGTGTACAGATGAAGGTAGAAGGTGGTGACTCTGGGAGTGCCAGTAAGGAAGGCAGTTGTACTGTTCACCGAAAATACAAGCGCATTGGAAAATACACACATTTGTATATATCTGTATGTTTGCCATATGCGTGGAATATATGTAGAAGGATACACAAACTGTTGTTAATGTTTTCATCTAGGGATTGAGACTTGGACAGAAGGGAGATTTATCAATACACTTGGGGGCCATTTGGAAAACATTGTGTTGACTATGTAGATGTATTATTTTAAAACTATAATAACTCTAGTTTCAGAATTTTTGAAGAATAGGCACGGAGGTCGTCAGGTAGAAGTTTTGTTGTTGTTTCCATTATTGTTGGCCTGCTATTCAAAATCCGTAAAAGCAATCTTAATATGAACCAGAGCAAATGGGAACTTAATTCTGGACCCAGGGTAAAAGCAGGCAAATCTTATCAGGCTGCTCTTTCACATCTTCTGAGCTGCCAGCCCCACCCTGAGGTTGGCCATGTGACAATTAGCCAATTAACCAGAAGGTCAAAAGGTGTGTGATAAGATCCTACCAGCCTTAGTGTCCGGGTACAGTTCCTGTTCTCATTAGACATGAAAGAAACCGTTCCCTGCTGAAGTGCTGTCATAACCACCTTACCGGGTGGTTGGTTTTTCTCTTTCTCCGATAGGAAGTACCCAACCACTCTACTGGTTCAGCACTCACACTGACACTGGACCCACAGATAAGTCGCCTGGTCATCTTCCTTTCTCTGGTACTGACCATGATGTGGCTGGCCACACTCAGACTTGATTTCTAGGGCCAGTGCTCCTTTAGATCTTGCATGTCTAACAAGAACAGTATCGCCCCCATGGCGATTGGTTGGTGAGGGGTAGAAAATAAAAGTCTTAGAATATGATTTGTTCCCTTCCAAAGACCACAGTACATAAACAGATATATGGTCTATCTGTGGTATTTAGCATTTCATGGAGGGGGCAGGGTTATAGAGGAAAAAAAGTTTTTAAAAGGCTCCTTAAGAAGAGATTTAAAAAAAAAAAAAATATATATATATATATATATGGAAACACTTTTTTTTTTTAAGATTTTTTTATTTATATATTCATGATATAGAGAGAGAGAGAGTCAGAGACAGGCATTGGGAGAAGCAGGCTCCATGCCAGGAGCCCGATGTGGGGTGGGACTCCAGGACCACACCCTGGCCCAAAGGCAGGCGCTAAACCACTGAGCCACCCAGGGATCCCCCTTGGGAAACACTTGGAATGAAGAACTACTCCCGTGTTTATTTCTCACCTAAGTTAGGATGCAAAGATATTTACTATAGAAAACTTCAAACTTACACAAAAGCAAGATAATAGTACAAAACTGCTGTGTACCCTTACCAGCTACAGCAGCTTATGATCATGTTTATTCCAGTGATACCACCCCACCTACCCCCACCCTGACTATTTTGAAAATCTAAGATACCTTATTTTTCATAGGTTAAATATTGTGCATCTCTAAAAAGTAAAGACTCTTTTAAAAACAAAACTAGGGGTGCCTGGGGGGCTCAGTCGATGAAGGGTCTGCCTTCAGATCAGATTATGATCCCAGAGTCTTGGGATCGAGCCCCATGTCTGAGCTCCCTGCTTATCAGGGAGCCTGCTTTTCCTCTCCCTCTGCCCCCACCCCTGCTTGTGGTCTCTCTCTCTCTCTCTCTCTCTCTCTCACTCTCACTCTCTCTCTCTCAAATAAATAAAATCTTTTAAGAAAATTTTAAAACAAAATTCTCTGATATCAGATAACTTGTCAATAATCAAATGTAGTGCTACATCTTTTTTTCTTCCAGGTTATTTGTTCTAAACAAATTCTGCATTTGGTTATTATGTCTCTTAAGTCTCTTGTAGTGTATGGATTCCCCCTCCCTCTTTGTCACCTTGAATTTATTCATTGACAAAACCAGATAGTTTTGCCTGCAATTTTCCCACATCCTTATTTTTTTTTCAAAGATTTATTTATTTATTCATGAGAGACAGACAGGCAGAGACACAGGCAGAGGGAGAAGCAGGCTCCCCACAGGGAGCCCGATGTGGGACTCAATCCCAGATCCCAGGATCATGACCTGAGCCAAAGGCAGGCACCTAACCACTGAGCCACCCAGGTGTCCCAATTATCCCACATCCTAAATTTGGCTGACTGCCTCTCTGTGGTGTCACCTGACAGGCTCTTCTGTCCCCTGTATATCCCATAATCCAGTAGTTAAATCTAGAAGCTTGCATTGGTTTAGGTATTCAGCAAGACTCCATCATATGTGGTGGTGTTTACTTCCATCAAGAATCAAGAGGCTCATAATGTCTAATTGTCTCTTTCTGGTGAGGGCAGCCACCATGATTATTGATTGTTTACTTGCAAAATGGTAATGCTATAATTCTCTCATTTCTTCTTCTTCTTCTTCTTCTTCTTCTTCTTCTTCTTCTTCTTCTTCTTCTTTTTTTGAGAGAGAGAGAGTGTGCACATGAGGTGGGGGGAGAGGGAAAGAGAGAATCGAAAGCAGACTCCCTGCTGAGTGTAAAGCCTGATATGAGGGCTTGATCGCACCATCTTGAGGCCATGACCTGAGCCAAAATCAAGGGTCAGATGCTCAATCAACTGAGCCACCCAGGCACCCCTCAGTTGTTTTGTTTCTTCACTTCCACATGAGTGAAATCATACGGTTGTCTTTCTCTTAGTTCATTTAGCTTATTAATACCCTCTAGTTCCATCCATGTCCTTGCAAATTGGCAAGATTTCATTCCTTTTATGGCTCAGTAATATTCCATTGTTTACATATACCACATCTTCTTTATCCATTTATCAATCAATGGATACTTCCATAATTTGGCTATTGTAGATAATGCTCTATAAACCTCAGGGCGCATGTATCCCTTCAAATTAGTATTTTTGTATTCTTTGGGTAAGTACCTAGTATTGCAATTGCTGGATCATAGGGTAGCTCCATTTTTAACTTTTTGATGAACCTCCATATTCTTTTCCATAGTGGCTGCACCAGTTTGCATTCCCACCGACAGTGGAAGAGGGCTCCTTTTTCTCCACATCCTTGCCGACACCTGTCGTTTCTTGTGTTGTTAATTTTAGCCATTTTGACAGTTGTTAGGTGATATCTTACTGTAGTTTTGATTTGTCTTTCCATGATGATGAGTGATGTTGAGCATCTGTTCATGTGTCATCTGTATATGTCTTTGGAAAAATGTCTATTCAAGACTTCTGCCCATTTTTAATTGGATTATTCATTTTTGGGGTGTTGAGTTGTATCAGTTCTTTATATATTTTGGATACTAACCCTTTATCAGATATGTTATTTGCAAATATCTTCTCCTATTCTATGGGTTTTCTTTTAGTTTTGTTGATTGTTTCCTTTGCTGTACAGAAGCTTTTTGTTTTGATGTAGTCCCAATAGTTTATTTTTTATTTTGCTTCCTTTGCCTCAGGAGACCTAATCTAGAAAAAAAAATTGCTATAGCTGATATCAAAAATATTACTGCTTGTGTGCTCTCTTCTAGGACTGTTACAGTTTCAGTTCTCACATTAGGTCTGGAATCCATTTCGAATTTATTTTTTTGTATGGTGTAAGAAAGTGGTCCAGTTTCATTCTTTTGCCTGTTGCTGTCCAGATACTTTATTTTCTTACACAATAAGATGTTCAAGGTATTCTTGTACCTTTCCTATCCCAGACCTAAGATGAACACCTTTTTAAATCTTCACTACAGGAAATTTCAGGTACATAAAAAATAGAGGGAAGAGTGTACACACACCCAACTTCAGTGAGTATTAACTATGGCCATTCTTATTATATAATACTCTACCCACACCCCCACACACGCCCAATGTATGGGCTTATAGTAAAGCATGTGCAAACTTCATATTATTTCACCCCTGAATACTTGAATGTGAATCTTTAAAGAGAAGGTCTCTTTTCTTAAAACTTAATAGTAAGCCATTTAATAGCATCAAATAACTTGAATGTGTTTTTATAGTTTTTTGAGCTGTAATTGACATATACTTATTTAAAGTGTACCAGTTGATAAGTTTTTTAAAGTTCCAGTATAATTAATGTACAGTGTTATCTTAGTGATTCAGTAATGATTCAGTAATTCCATACATTACTCAGTGCTAATCAAAATAAGTGTACTCTTTAATCCCTGACACCTGTTTGACCCATTCCCCTATCCCTTCCCCTCGGGTAACCACCAGTGCATTCTCTAGAGGTAAGAGTCTGGTTTTTTGGCTGTCTCTTTTTTTCTTTGTTTTTTTGTTTCTTAGAATCCACTTATGAACGAGATTGTATGGTATTTGTCTTTCTCTAACTTATTTCGCTTACCGTTATACTCTCTAGCTCCATCCTTGTTGTTGCAAATGGCAACATCCTTTTTTATGGCCGAATATATATTCCATTTCATATATATACCACATCTCCTTTATTCATCAGTTTGACAAGTTTTGACATATTGTAAACACCTGTGAAACCATCACTGTGATCAAGGTAGTGAACCTATCACTCCCCAAAGCCGCCTCCTGCCCTTCTGTTGAGCCCTGCTCCCAACTTCTTCCCATTCAGATCAGTGCATGGTGCTAATGTACTGGTCCAATTTGCATTTCTCTAAGGACTAATGATATTGAGCATCTTTTTATGTGCTTATTTGCATCCTTATTATATCTTCTTTGGTGAAGTAGCCATTCATACCTTTTTTTTTTCCATTCATACCTTTTGTCCATTTTATTTGATGCTTACTAGCATCAAGTAAACTGAGTCACTTTGAGTTACTTTTGTAATCAGGAAAAATATAAATGCACATTTTATAGGAAAATTTACAAAAGTGACAAAAATGAAAATAAATAACCCATAGTCCCACCTGAGAGTCAAATATGGTTAACATTATATCTTACTCTCTTTTCTTCCAGACAACTTGTGTGTAGTTTAAGTGGTCCTTTTGTTTTTATATTCATTCTACAAATACATCTGTCATGAGCCAGGTGCTTCTCTGGGAATGGATGTGAAAGAGGTCTGGCTTATATGGGGCCGGCAGCAGGAAGATCAGATTGCTACACATCTTTGACTCTTTTTTCACCTAACACTATAACATGAGCATTACCCAAAACTTCCCACATATGTTTTTCAGTGGCTATATGAATTCTCTGCTAAAACATCTTCTGTAACTTCATTATTTAGGTCGCAGATTCCACTTTCTCTGTTATACACAATGCAGCACTAAACATTTTGTGCATAAAGCCTCTGCTTTTTTTTTTTAATTTTTTTATTTATTTATAATAGGCACACAGTGAGAGAGAGAGAGGCAGAGACACAGGCAGAGGGAGAAGCAGGCTCCATGCACCGGGAGCCCGACGTGGGATTCAATCCTGGGTCTCCAGGATCGCGCCCTGGGCCAAAGACAGGCGCTAAACCTCTGCGCCACCCAGGGATCCCTGCATAAAGCCTCTGTATTTCTGATTACTTTTATTTTAAATGGTGCCCATTAATATATTGGTTAAATTAAATGCACACCAGCGGGGGTAGGGGGATAGAGGAAGAGGGAGAGGGAATCTTTTTTTTTTTTTTTTTTATGAGAGTCAGAGGGAGAGAGGGATAGAGAGAGAGAGAGAGAGGCAGAGACATAGGCAGAGAGAGAGGCAGGCTCCATGCAGGGAGCCTGATGTGGGACTTGATCCTGGGATTCCAGGATCCCGCCCTGGGCCAAAGGCAGGCACTTAACCGCTGAGCCACCCAGGCATCCCGAGAGAGGGAATCTTAAGCGGCCTCCATGCCTAGGCTTCATGGAGCCTAACACAGGTATTGATCTCATGACCCTGAGATCATGACCTGAGCTGAAACCAAGTCAGATGCTTAACCAACTGAGCCACCCAGGCACCCCTAAATTAAACATTTTTAAGACTCTCTGATACGATTTACAGAATTGTTTTTCCAAAAAGGTTGAGTTTTACTAGCATACCTAGGAGTATGCTTCTCAGCCCCCCCCCCAATCCTTGCCAAAGCCACGGAGAAAGATTGGATCTTTATTAAATATAGCCCAACAGATGGATTATTTGGGCCTTTTCTTGCCATTCATTGGTTCATTCATCCATTCATTCATCGTTTGTGCAAATCACACAAAAAGGGCTGATGGCAAAGGATGTGAGACTGTGGAAGGAGCATGGGTGGGGAGCTGGCTGCCATGGTTGTAACACGCCCCTTTACCCACTTTGTCCTCTGCAGGCTGTGAACCCAGGCAGGTCCCTGTTCCTGCTCTATGCCCTCAAAAGCTCCCCAAGACTTGGGCTTCTGTATCTCTACCTGTTTGACTACACAGACACTTTCCTACCATTCATCCACACCATCTGCCCTCTGCAAGAAGACAGTCCTGGGGAGGACATCCTCACTAAGCTTCTGGTAGGTCTGCAGAGTGCCTTGAATGGAATTGTTCTTTCACTCCTCAGTGTGTTATAGAATTGGAGATATGGCTGTAGCTGTCAGGAAAGCGCCAGCATGGTGGCTTCATATATGGCCTTCATTTGTTCCTTGCAAGAAGAAACCCTACAAGGGAACATCTAAGGCAACCCCTCCCAACTCCCAGAAGCCAGTTTTATTTTCTGCATTGCATAGCAAGAGGAACTACCTTCTGGACTTGGAATATTTAAGGGAAGGGAGAACAGCATTGCTTTTGCTCTAAAGGAAGATAGCGTAGGTCCACATGACCCAAGAGTTAGATTTATGGACCTTCCAGCTTAGTCATATGTCTGTTAAGAGGATCCCCAAAGGATGATTATTTGTCCCCACAGGGCAGGGTTAGTATCCATCATGGTGGCCTCTGAAAAGGAAGCTGTCTTTGCTGATGAGAGTTGTTGCATCAGCTGACCACAGGCCAATGGGAGGCGTTGTTACCCACCTTGGCTTTTGTGTCTTCAGTTTGACCCATGGAGTCCTTCAGAATTGTTGGTGGATCCCACTTACTCTGTGACTTCTCTTTGTCTGGTTGGTCATTTTAGAGTAATGTCCTTTACACTGCTGTTCTTGGGACCATCTCTCTGATCTGTTTAAATCAAAAGTCACATGGTTATAAGAATCGTCATATATGATCCACACCCATAAATATTAAAACAGAATTCCTAAATCTCCAGCGACCCTTTTTAAAATACTTGAGTCAAGTGTCTGCCTGACCGACTTGAGCCTTGGATGTACTTAAAGCCTGCTGATTAGCGACTATGCACAGTGTTTGTCTAATTACCCAGTTTCCTGCTGTTACCTGCCCTCGTTGGACTAGGAACACAGACCTCCCTACGTCTCCGTTATAACAAGCCCCAGCGACCCCTGCCCACTCAGCAGGCTCACTTTCCTCTTGGAATACTTCATATCTACTCCATTGTACATGGTCCTGCTGAGCTTCCATTAGCCTTCTGGATGCCCCCATGTGTTGTTTAAATGCTCTGGTTAATTATCTGCTAATATCTGTCGTTAAGGTTTTTTATTTTTCCCAAAATTACTTTCTCAAGGTATACGTTTAATTTTCCCATGATCTGTTAGCATTCTTCAGCTAAAATGTCAAATTTAGGAAATTGTTTGAGCTACCCAGGCATTGAGGAAGAAGTTCAAAAAATGGCTTAATTTCAGTTCATTGCCAAACTTCAGCATTTATAACTCATGCTTAGTTTTTTACTTCTGAGCTTCCACAGTTACATAATAAGCATCTCTGTTCAACTTCTTTGGTAACGTTTATCTGGTGTAAGATTATTTATTACAAGATGAGCTGATGGATGGAAATTTCAGCTCATTCAGTTAGGTTGTTGGATAAGTGTGTGTTTTCATAAATGTGAAGTTCATTGTGGTGACCACAATATTTTCCATGAAAGTCCATCCTCACAATTTTGTGTGTCCACTTGTGCTTATTTTTATGTTATTGTAAAGGATCTCAGAGAGCCCACATGGAAGCAGTGGAGAGAATTCCTTGTCAAGTACTCCTTCCTTCCGTACCAGCTGATTGCTGAATTTGCTTGGGATTGGCTGGAGGTCCATTACTGGACGTCACGGTTCCTCATTGTCAATGCCATGTTACTCTCGGTTCTGGAATTATTCTCCTTTTGGAGGATCTGGTCACGAAGCGAACTGAAGTAAGTGTGTTTGTACGTTGGAGGTGGCTGGAACAACAGGCACTGAGAAAGACATACCAAGTGGTAGAAGAGTCCTCCTCGAAGTATTACACAAACATGAAGACACTCCTTGGGCTCTGGTTTAGAAACACTGCTTAAGCAGCAAATAGGCAAATTTCCTGGTGTTTGGAGACAGGGAAGTTTTCTTGGTGCTCACTGTTCATGAGTTTCTTCGCCTCTCTTATCCTCGGGTAAAACATACCATTACTTCCTTGGGGTGGGGGTGTACATGAAGGATTTTATTAAGGAATACATAAGAGAGGGAATCCCTGGGTGGCTCAGCAGTTTAGCGCCTGCCTTTGGCCCAGGGCGCGATCCTGGAGTCCCGGGATCGAGTCCCGCGTCGGGCTCCCGGCATGGAGCCTGCTTCTCCCTCTGCCTGTGTCTCTGCCTCTCTCTCTCTCTCTCTCTCTCTCTCTCTCTATCATAAATAAATAAAAAAATCTTTAAAAAAAAAAGGAATACATAAGAGAGAAAAAGAGGCTACTTTAAGGAAAGGGGTGCTGTGGGGACACCTGGGTGGCTCAGTGGTTGAGCATCTGCCTTTGACTCGGGTTGTGGTCCCAGAGTCCTGGGATCAAGTCCCACATCGGACTCCCCACAGGAGCCTGCTTCTCCCTCTGCCTCTTTCTCTTTGTCTCTTATGAATAAATAAATTAAAATCTTAAAAAAAAAAAAAAAAAGAAGAAAAGAAAGGGGCACTGTGATAGAGCATAGAGAGATCTGGCAAGGAATCCTGTAGGCATGAGTTCTAATCCTGCTCTGCCACCCATTGGGCTAGTAATAACTTCTCTGGATTAATGCGTAAAATGAGAGCATAGGGCTAACCAGTCCCGGAGTCAGGACTCTTGGCTGCAAGTGGTAGAAAAACCAACCTGAATCGGCTTTCTGGACAAGAGAAATGCCCTCCATGGCTTCCCGCACAGCTGGTCCCAGAGACCTTCATCAAAACTGACCCTGTCTCTTCTATAGCCCTGCTCTTTGCTGTGTTGTTCAGCCTCGGGCAGCTCTCTTCACATGGGGCACGTGGTCACTCCAGATCTCAGCAGCTTAGCAACCCTGGTGGAAAGAGAGCACTCCTTTCCCCATAGCACTTACAGTCTCCAGGCTCATACTCCTTTGCTCTGATTGGCCCAGCCTGGCTCCCATGCCCACCTGGACCTATAACATGGGGCAGGATATGCCAGGCTTCCCTTGACCAGGCTCAAGGCATATGCCTTCACCCCCCAACTAGGGGCTGGCTTCAGCTCCACTGAGACTACATGGAAAAGAATAGGAGAAGGGTACATCCGGAAGGAAAATTCAGAAGGTGTTTCCAGAAGAAAGGGAGTGGCTACTAGACAGGCAGAAGTAACACACCAGCATCCTTATAGCCTTAAACATCCTATGACTCAGAGTTCTTGGCCTTGTCAGTCAGTAACAGCCCTATAAATAGTTCCCAAACCCTGACAAGAATCTCCTATTGACTTATTCATGCACAGTTAATGGAGCCCCTCCTCTGCTCCAGCCCTCTGCTGGGTGCTGTAGATGTTTCGGTAAAGAAGATAGACAGTCTGGACTCTGAAGGCCTACAGCCTCTCAGAGAAAATATGGATAGTAAATACACACAAGTGTAACCCAGCGACAAAGCAGGTGGGGCTGTGCTGGGGGGTCCTCGTGTGGTGCGGCACCAAGCACAACCCTGCAGGCTGCATCCTGGGAGTTAAAGATAAGCGGGCAGGCCAAGGTACGCCTCGGGCAGCAGGGCCGGAGGGGTCTGTGCAGCACAGACAGCCAGACTGCACTGGGAGAGGGTCCAGGGCCCAAGCACTTGGCGTCATCATTAGAACACCATCACAATTCCACCTCGCAGATGCCTCTCTTCTTTCCACAGGACCGTGCCTCAGAGGATGTGGAGCCATTTTTGGAAAGTATCGACACAGGGGCTCTTCGTGGCCATGTTCTGGCCTCTCATTCCTCAGTTTGTTTGCAACTGCTTATTTTACTGGGCTCTGTACTTCAACCCAATCATTAACATTGATCTCGTGGTCAAGGAAGTCCGACAGCTGGAAACCCAAGTGTTGTGACTGGCACTGCCCAGGCCCTGAGGGACTCTTCCAGCCTCACTGACATCTGAGCACTGATGCTTGGGTGGGGGTGGGGCGGGGGGAGCGGACTTCCTGTGTCTACGCCTCGTGAACAAGGTGCTGCTTTGTTAGAGGCTACAACCAGGTCCTCTCTCCCTCTGCCTGTGGCATCATGGCAGCAGGGACCAACGTCCCAGAACTCAGCCAACACAGCAGCAACACCTCCCTGCCAGCTGCCCTCCTCACAAAGACCTGGGAGGCCCCGTCTGCCATGGCTGTCAAGGGCCCGGGGTCCCCAGAGGATGCAGTATGGCATCGTCAGAAGGCTGCTGGGTCAGCAGTCTCGCTTGACAGTGGCTCCTGGAGTGAGTTACAGCCTGAGACTGAGCCCCGACACTCAGCTTGGTGGGGCCAGGCCCATCCTCTAAGGCAAATTTAGGAAAATGGAAGAAGATCCTGTCATAGGCATAGACAGCTGCACATAAATAACAGGAAAAGCCCAAATCCTATGGACGATTCTATATTATTGAAGAGTTACTGGAAAGTTTGTCAGAGTTAAACCTCTAAAAGGATTCCGTTTGAGACTAGAATGGCCATCAGACTGTCACACAGGCTTTCTGTGTATATCGCTACAAGTTTGGATCCTAACTCAGCCCGGGAGTGGGTGGGGTGGGGGTGGGGGGATTGAGTAGGATGTTGGGCAATAATGGAGAGTAATTCACATCGGCCTGAGCTGCCTCAGTGCCACTTAAAATGATCGTTTTGGAGTTGGTTTGTTTTGTTTTCAGGAATTTAGTATCCAGGCTATAGTTCTTTCGTTCAAGGAAACATTTTGTACATTGACCTCGCACTGTATAATCCTACTGTCCTGTTCTGTTGTATAAAGCCACAAGTATAATGACACCAAGTGCTGTAATTGTAAATATGAATGAGATGAAGCAAGGCCTTTTATTTCCTTTCAGTGTAAAGAGAGCAGGTGTGAACGTGAGCCATCCGAAGATGGGCCTGCAGAGGTAAGCTTGCATCCAGTGTTGTTTTGTGACTCCACGAACCCTCCGTTAATCCTTTGGACCTCTGAAGATCTCCCTCAAACTTTGCATCTGAAAGTTTGAAGAAATCACTTGAAAGCAAAATAAAGATTTTTTTTATATAAAGTTCTACACAGGGGAAGAAATAATTGCTTAGAAAATGTGAAGAAAATCTGCATTGCCCGACACAACTCACGAGACACGTCAGTCCCCCAGCCAAGGAGCCACCCTAAGGTGTCTTAGGTGAAAGGAGGGTGAGCGCTCTCCTTCCTCCTGCATTGGCACATCAGGCCCCGGGACTCCTGGCTCTCCCCGAGTCACCCAACAGCACGGCAGGCCTGGAGACACCATGGGATATTTGCACATCCCTGGCCCGGTGCCTTGCAGTTACTGTTTTCCATTCCAGATGAGCATGTGGAGGCTGGATGGCACTGGTGGGGCTGGGCCCAGCTAGACTGCCAGCCCAGTGCCCCTACCTGCACCGCATGGCCTCACACAATCCCCACATCCTGCTTCAGAGATGAGAGTCCTACCCACACACGCGCTGGGCAGGAGGAAGGGCAGAGACCAGGCCTAGAGCACATAGGCTGGCCCCGACTCGCCTCTCGTTGCCAGAGTGAGGACAGGCATGTTCAGAGCAAGGGCCACAGGCCGCCTCTCTTCTCCCTAGACCCTCTCAATTGTGGCGGGCTCAGGGACCTCAGAAGGGGATGTTGATGGAAAATATACAAGCCCTTTGATGATGAAATGGCACTTTTGCAAGTCTGGTGGCAGGCGGCAAGAGAATTCCTGTCCCCATTCAGGGTCCTTCTAGCCAGAATAAGAATCAGTGGATGAGACAGATCAACAGAGAATCAACTTTCACTTTGTACATGAGGGGAATCCACGCAGACATGGCTAATTCCAAAGACGGACAAAACAAGGCCTGTATGTCATCAGGGACTAAGGTAGGGATGTGGGCCTCTGCTTCACGGGGCATGGTAAGAGCAGGTCCCTAACAAGCCCTTTGGCCTGCCCTGCAGACAGGCCACTCATAAAATTCACCTCTGGCAAAAGTCCTTATCCTAGGACAGACCCCAACTCCAACTCTTCTAGGTAGTTAAAGGAGGGGCGGAAGTTTCTCTCGGACCTGCAGGAGGGTCTCTGCTGCCTGCAGCTCCAAATCTGCATGCCAGAGTGCCCCACCTTGGGGTGGCCTGTCCTTGGCCACTACACTGGGTTAAGGAACACTATGAAAGGGGGTGGCGGGGGAGGCGTGGCAAATATTTATTCACTAGCATCCTTGTCACTTCAATAACCAATAAAACCTGGAAATTTCGCCAGTACCCAAAAGTGAGCAATCTATAAAACTATGTAATACAGTTCCTTAAAATGAAGTTCCAAAGGTTGGTTGGTTTTTTTATTTATTTGAGAGAGAGCACGTGCAGAAGTGGGGTGGGGGTCAGGAAGCAGCAGAGGGAGAGGGAGAAGCCCTCGATGTGGAGCTCAATCCCAGGACCCCGGGATCATGACCTGAGCCGAAGGCAGAGTCGCTTCACTGACTGAGCCAGCCAGGCGTCTCTCCAAATGTTTTTTTTTTTTTAACGGGAAAAAATTTTTTAAAGATTTTATTTATTTATGAGAGAGGCAGAGACATAGGCAGAAGGAGAAGCAGGCTCCCCATGGGGAGCCCCATGCAGGATTCGATCCCAGGAGCCCGGGATCACACCCTGGGCCAAAGGCAGATGCTCTACTGCTAAGCTACCCAGATGTCCCAAGAATACTCTTTCTTAAGCTCATAACTACTAGACTAGAACTTCACAGGAGTGGGCATCTTTTTTTCCCCAAGATTTTATTTGAGAGACTGAGAAAGCAGGGGGTGGGGGGAGGAGAGGCAGAGGGAGAAGCAGAGTCCACGCTGAGCAGGGAGCCTGACTTGGGGCTCAATCCCAGGACCCTGGGGTCACAACCTGAGCTGAGGGCAGGCACTTACCTGACTCAGGGACCCCAGGAGTGGGCATCTTGTTCATTGCCTCATCCCAGAACACAGAACAAGGCCAGGCACTTGGTAGGTGTTTGACTCCCCACCATCAGGAGCAGGTTAGAACACAAAGCTCAGCCCTTTTTCATAAAGGGCAAACCTCAAAAATGGTATCAAACCCAATACAGCCATGAGCATGGTTGTGGTTTTTACAAAAGAAGCACTGGATTTTTGACCTTAAACTAGAAACCACACAAACTCCAGCCCCAAGTTCCAGGAGAGAAAGCAAACAGGGGTTGCACCTTCAACACTTGGCCTCACCTCCCTCCTGCAAAGAACTGAATGCTGCGTTGATGTGTGAAAAGAGTTTTATTTCCTTGTGTGAAAGAACATTCCCAGTTGGGCTAGTCAGTCACAGGTGGGCGAGTCCTTCTCACATAAGAGATGGGGGTAGAAGAAGTACTTTAAGTTGTACTCGGTTTGGGCTAAGCAGTAAGCAATCTCCTTGTCACACGTGCACAAGAGTTCTTGGCACTTGTTGTCCGCTGGTCCTGAAAGAAGTGGGGAAACTGAGTCAGCAGGGTCTCACAGAGACTTGAGAGTCAACACTAGGGAGGCCAACAAAGTGGGGGGTAGAGGGGGAAAAATCCGCAGCTACGTGACATTTGACAATTCACAGGATCTCTGTCATGGCAACCTCAAGAGGGAGGTGACGTTGGGCCCATTTTCCAGAAACCGAAGTGGCCAGAGAAGTGTGTTCAGATGGGGAAAGTCCAAGGTCCACTTGACCTTTTGGCTTCTCTTCCCCATCAACAGTACACGACTCACCCAAGGATCCGTTTAGATATGCAGTAGGTGCCTGGGAACCATCCAGAGCTTTTTGGGAGGAGTGCTTGCTCTGCTACTTCCTCTCTGGGTGACCTTGCCTAAGGTTTCAGAGCCAAGTCCTCATTGAAAACGGGATACGGGGGCACCTCGGTGGCTCAGTGGCTGAACCTCTGCCTTTGGCTCAGGGTGTGATGCTGGAGCCCTGGGATCGAATCCCACATCGGGCTCCCTGCAGGGAGCCTGCTTCTCCCTTTGCCTGTGTCTCTGCCTCTCTCTCTGTCTGAATAATAAGTAAAAGTTTTGAATAATAATGAATTAAAAATAAATGAATAAATAAGTAAAAGTTTTAAAATAAAATAAAATCCTTAAAAAGAAACAAAACGGGGGTTATGGAGAAGCCCGAGTGAGAAAGCCCATGCAGAGTGCCCAGCAGGAGCCTGGCAGGGGACATGCACTCTGCCAGTATTGGCTCCACCTGCATCCCTCTGCCTTCTTTCTCCGTCTCTCCCCCATGCTCCTTCAAGAGTGTGTTCCAGCTTTCCCTTCCAGCCGGAGCCTGCCTCTTAGAGACCCAGAGGCTGCCACTCTAAGGTAAGTCTCCTTCTGCCTTGGTAATCCCAACACCAGAGATGCTCTACTTGAGGTTAGAAAGATGGTGTGGTCTTTAGGCAGTACCAGAATGTAGAATGCCTGAAACAGCTTGGACATCCTATCTGGCCATGAGGCCCTCTGCCTTTATGTGTGGGCTTGTAATTGTTCACATAATGTATATATCAGTCCCATCCACCACGGAAGCCTTCCAAATTGCTCCCAGAGACACGGTGAAGCACCAGTTATGGAGCTCACCAGCTCCATCATGGGTGTACAGCTCTGAGCCTCTTTACACATGACTTCAACCCTTCTAGGTGTTTCATCAGCACAGAGATAGGAACAGTACCCACTTCTAAGGGCTGCTGGGAGAACGAAAACACACCCAACACATCATTTTAACCAACAGATAAAAGGCAGGGCATATAGTAGGCACCCAGTTAGCTGGAGCTGACCTCCTTTGGCTGCCAGCTACTCTTTAAGGATCCTCTCGTGTTCCTTGGAGGGGCACCTGGTGGCTCAGTAGTTGAGCATCTGCCTTCTGCTCAGGCCCTGATCTCAGGGTCCTGGGATCGAGTTCCCCACCAGGCTCCCTGCTCTGAGGAGTGTCTGCTTCTCCCTCTCCTTCTGCCCCTCCTTCCCCACCCCCCACTCATGCTCTCTCTCAAATAAAAATAAAAAACATTTTTTTCAATGTTCCTTGGAGACCCTCACAGGTGAAGCATGACAGCCAGAGGTTGGTAGGACCAGGAGGGGCGGGGTGACAGGGTGTCAATCAGCAGGCAGGAGGCCGGGCACACTCTGGAAATTATCTTTCTAGGTCCTGTCGTAAGCAGTACAGATTTTTTTTTTTAATTAAATTCTGCCCTCCATTGCTTTCTTCCTTCCTTCCTTTTTTTTTTTTAAAGATTTGTTTATTTATTCATTCATTCATGAGAGGCAGAGACATAGGCAGAGGGAGAAGCAGGCTCCCTACGGGGAGCTCTATGCAGAACTCAATCCCAGGACCCTGGGATCATGACCTAAGCCGAAAGCAGATGCTGAAGCACAGCTACCCAGCTGCCCCATGAGCAGCACAGATTGATCCATATGACTGCCCCCAGGGCTTCCCAAACTCAGGCCTGCAGCAGCTCAGGATTATTGCTTTAAATCCCCTCGTTTTTTAAAATAGTAAGTTGATTAGTAAATAAATTATAATTTAATCATATTACAGGGTGTTAAATGACACCAAATAAATTCCACATAAATAAAAAAAATAAATTCTATATCACTGCCATAAGTAGAAAATCAAAATCTTATACCATAAACAAATTGGTGGAAAAACAAGCAGGAACAAAGAACAGTAGACATAGATTTCTACTAGTAAAGGCTAGTTAGATGCTATCCACGTCGGGCTCCCTGCATGGAGCCTGCTTCTCCCTCTGCCTGTGTCTCTGCCTCTCTCTCTGTGTCTCTCATGAATGAATAAATAAAATCTTTAAAAAAAAAAAAAACAGGGAGATTAGCAAGTGTAAGAAAGGTTTAGCCTCTCCAGCTGTCAGACCACCCCACAACTGACGCTCCTTTCCTGCTTGAAAAAATTAACAGAGGACAGAAAGGGAACATCGTTCTCATTTAACCCTCAGGGCTGTGCCACCAGCACCCGAACCTTCCAGAGGAGAAATCCAAGAAGACTGGGGCCCCAACCAGGCCTCAGGACCTGTCCACAGGAAGGGAACCAGGCACCGAGTCAGTGAGGGCACACTCAACCACTGAGCCACCCACACATCCCATGTTAACACAGGAATTTTAACGACATGAGAAACAGCTTATACTTCAGTAATACATAAGAGGTACAAAACATAACTGCTATATATCTTTTTTAAATTATGCACTTGAAAAAGGGAAAACACCAGAAGGTTAGTTAGCCAAGTGCTTGTCTGTATAGTATCTATGGAAGTTTTGTTTGCCGTGAAACTTGTAGTTCGTAATCTCAGACTTTTCTACTTTGAGCCCTATGAGACTTTGATCATGGAGAAAGCAACCTCAAAAAAATTTGAAGTGTAGCTATTTCGAAGTGTAATTTAAGATATCTGTTAGATCTGGAACCCCTGGGTGGCTCAGTGGCTGAGCATCTGCCCTCGGCTCAGGTAGTGATCCCGGGGTCCTGGGATCGAGTCCCGCACTGGGCTCCCTGCAGGGACCCTGCTTCTCCCTCTGCCTGTGTCTCTATCTCTCTGTGTGTCTCTCATGAATAAATAAAATATTTAAAAAATATGTCTATTGGATTTAAGATATCTATAGCACCAAATGGCAGTGCCAAAAAGAGGTGCCCTGTGGGGGCTTTAGTGGCCTTCCTCCCCACAATCTTTACCAGTTTCCCTCTCTATCCCCTCCCCAGTGTCTATAAACAAACACAACTCACATTTTAAGTGCCTTTGCCATGAAAACTCCCCTTTCAAGAAGAGCCCTCGAGTCCTTTCTACATAGACATTCTAGAGATGGCTCAAATTCCCAACAGACACAACAGTTCTAGGACTTGATGCTACAGAACCACCACACGGGTAGCACAAGGAAGCCACCACGGTCTCTGCAACCAGGTGCCACAGTTAATGGGGAAGTGGTCAAAATAACGTACATTTGTGTCCCAGACCAGCTCTTCTCAACCATGGGCGTTGGGCAACGTCTGGAGACACTTTTGGTCATCACGACAGGGAGGGAGGATGCAACTGGAGCCAAAATGTCAACAGTATCAAGACTGCGAAATTCTGTCATAGGTTATTATCTTGCTTTATCTTATTTTTTTTAAGATTTTATTTATTTGGGGGATCCCTGGGTGGCTCAGTGGTTTAGCACCTGCATTTGGCCCAGGGCGCAATCCTGGAGTCCCGGGATCCAGTCCCACGTCAGGCTCCCGGCATGGAGCCTGCTTCTCCCTCCTCCTGTGTCTCTGCCTCTCTCTCTCTCTCTCTCTCTCTGTCTATCATACATAAATAAATCTTTAAAAAAATAAATAAAAATTTAAAAAACTATTTATTTTTTAAAAAGATTTTATTTATTTGTTCATGAGACAGAGAGAGAGAGGCAGAGACACAGGCAGAGGGAGAGGTAGGCTCCCCCCTGAGCAGAGGGCCTAATGCGGGACTTGTTCCCAGGACCCCGGGATCACACCCTGAGCCAAAGGCAGGTGCTCAACCACTGAGCCACCCAGGTACCCCTATCTTTTTTAAATATTTTAATTTTAGAGATCCCTGAGTGGCGCAGCGGTTTGGCGCCTGCCTTTGACCCAGGGCGCGATCCTGGAGACCCGGGATTGAATCCCACGTCGGGCTCCCGGTGCATGGAGCCTGCTTCTCCCTCTGCCTGTGTCTCTGCCTCTCTCTCTCTCTCTCTCTCTCTCTCTCTCTCTGTGACTATCATAAAAAATTAAAAATAATAAAAAATAATAAAGATTTTAATTTTAAGTGACCCCTACACCTAACTGTAGGGCTCTAACTCACAACCCTGAGATCAAGAGTCACATGCTCTACTGACTGAGCCAGGCAGGCACCCCTTATTTTCTTGCTTGAAAAGAATGAGGTCAACCCCTATGTTCCAAGATGTCAAAGACACAATGTTAAGTGAATAAAAATTATAAAAATATATGTAGTATGATCTGATTTCATAGGTATAGGTATGTGTGTATATATATATATGTGTGTGTGTATATATTTAAACACACGCACAAATCTCATGATCCCTGGTGGATGGAGCGTCACTTTCCACATTACAATATTTCTGTAATGTTTGAGTTTTTCACAACAGACCCATGTTAGGTTTGAAGGAGCACAAGCATGCGGGTGAATGGACAGGTAGATAATATATACATTGATATAGATACATAGATAGATGACAAATAAATAAGTGTAAAAATCAATAACAGAGGGCAGCCTGGGTGGCTCAGTGGTTTAGCGCTGCCTTCAGCCCAGGGCGTGATCCTGGGGACTGGGGATGGAGTCCCACGTTGGACTCCCAGCAGAGAGTCTGCTTCTCCCTCTGCCTGTGTCTCTGCTTCTCTCTCTGTGTGTCTCTCATGAATAAATAAATAAAAATCTTTTTTTAAAAAATCAATAACAGAGCCAGACAGTCCCGGAGCGAGCCCTCTGAACTTCCCAGG